AAGGTTTCAGAATTTAGATTTTGCCCCGGGGGGTCAAATGGGGGTCGAAAAATGACATTTTTTATGCAAAAAGCCCCATCTTCCATGACCTCCTCTTACATTTTACTCAGCAGCCTAATCATCTTTTGGGAGATGGTTGGTGGGGTCATGTAGATGTGTAGTAAGGTTTCGGAATTTTGATTTTGCCCCGGGGGGTCAAATGGGGGTTGAAAACTGACGTAATTTATGCAAAAAGCCCCGTCTTCCCTAAACTCTTACTTTATTTTACACAGTGGCCTAATCCTCTTTTAGGAGAGTTCACTCTTTTGAAATTTTGGTAAAACATCAATTTCAAGGGGTAAAAAATCATAGCATGTTGGGAAACATCTTGTTATGGGTAATGTACACGTGAAATGTGAAAGTCGTATCTCTTCTCAATCAAAAGGAAATACAACATTATTGAAAAGTAAGTTAAACTTCAAGGTCAAGGTCACAGAGTCAAAAAGTCATGATACATTTGGAAAGGTCACAGGTAATATACATGCATGTATAATATGAATGCCCTTTCATTTATCTTTCAAAATGATCAATTTAAAACAATTAATTTGTTTATGACACTGGGTCAAATTTCAAGGTCATGGGTAATAAAAATCATAGTGTATTTAGAATGGTATTGCCCCTGTTAAATACTAATACACATGTTTAATATAGAAGTCCTGTCTCTTCTCATTCAAAATATATGACCATGATGACAAAGGTTAAATTTATTGTGACAGATGGACAGACTGACAAACAAATGAGATTTAATGTCCCCTACCTTTAGCGAAAATGGGGGACAATAAATGTCCTTGCTGTTCTTGAGAAGAAGATTTATGTTGGAAAAAGTCCCCTGCATATTTACATGTAAATTGGTTGAAATTGGCCCAGTGGTTCTTAAGACATTAAGAATGTGAAAAGTTTGCAGACAAACAGATGGACGACAGAAAACAGTACATTTCAGAAAACAGTATGCTTGTAAATAGTTAATCAAGGTGCTTTGGGTAGCAAAATAAAGCTAAACTGGTATATCTAATTCATCCGCAGAGCTTAGTATATTTTATTATGCACAACTTTTTCAACTCTTATAATAATTATTTTTAAAATATTTATATCACCATGTCTGATTGAAGGAAGAACTAGAGACATGACCAGAAGTATATCTGTTATATATAAAATATGTGCATGTATACTGTGTTTTTCTTAGTAATTTGTTTGTTTGTTGTGACAACAACTGTTATGGCAGCTTTTGGCAAAGGTTGAAGTTTCTCAAATGTAAGTCAAACTCCAAGGTCAAGGTCAAAGGGTCAAAATTGTTGGTATCAAAGGGAAAGTCTTGTCACAAGGAATACACATGTGAAATAAGAGAGAAATCCCTAGTACTTCCTCACCTGTTCAAAAGTTATTGCCAAGGTTAAAATTAATTGGGTTCAACTCTAGGGTCAAGGTTAAAAATATTTATACCTGTTTAAAGTTCACAATGATTACACTTGTTAAGCATGAACGTCCTAGCACCAACTATTCAAAACTTCGGCCAAGTTTAAGGTATTTTTCTTGTAAAAGTGGGTCAAACTCCAAGGTCAAGAGATCAAGAGGTCAAAATTGGTGGTATCCATTAAAAGGTTTTGCCAAAAGAAATTTTAATACCTATGAAATGTGGAAGCCATGTGTATAGCCAAATCCACTTAAAACTTATGGACAAGGTAAAAGTTTCTGTGGACAAACAAACAGACATAAACATACAGAAAACAAAATATGTATATATAGTCAAATGGAAAATTTTTCTACTATTATGGAGTCATAAGATCAGGTATAGGGAGTCAGTGGCTAGGGAGATCAGACCCCCCCCCCCTATAAATTGCAGTTATTTAAATAAGACTATTTACTGAAGAGAATAACCAGAAGTCTCTGTCGAGACTGTAGCTCTACTGGTTTGTACTTATCAAAAACCATTGCACTATTTTAAGTTTCTTTGTGTAGTCTACTTGTGTGCCAACTTATTTTGAAATCAAACTAAAACTGTTGAAGGAGTAGCGTTTTAAAGGAATTTCACGGAAAATTCTATTTCTAGTAACCATGGCAACACCATTCATTAAAATCAAAAATTTATGCACTATTCTTTGTATCTTAGTGTAGTCTACTTGTGTGCCAAGTTATATTGAAATCAGACCAAAACTGTAGAAGGAGTAGCGTTTTAAAGGAATTTCACACAAAATTCTATTTTTAGTAACCATGGCAACACCGTTCATTGAAATCAAAAACTGATGCACTATTCTATGTATCTTAGTGTAGTCTACTTGTGTGCCAAGTTATATTGAAATCAGATCAAAACTGTAGAAGGAGTAGTGTTTTAAAGGAATTTCACAGAAAATTCTATTTTTAGTAACTATGGCAACACCGTTCATCGAAATCAAAAACAGATGCACTATTCTATGTATCTTAGTGTAGTCTACTTGTGTGCCAAGTTATATTGAAATCAGACCAAAACTGTAGAAGGAGTAGCGTTTTAAAGGAATTTCACAGAAAATTCTATTTTTAGTAACCATGGCAACACCGTTCATCGAAATCAAAAATCGATGCACTATTCTATGTATCTTAGTGTAGTCTACTTGTGTGCCAAGTAATATTGAAATCAGACTAAAATTGTAGGAGGAGTAGCGTTTTGAAATATTGTTTACAGACAGACGGACGGACGCCGGACGCATTACTATCGCATAAGCTCTTCTGGTCTCTGACCAGTAGAGCTAAAAATGACTTTGGACATCCCCCCCTTAGAAAACATGGATATTTGCTTCTCAGGAAATCTTGGGCTGGATTTTTTTTTTGACTGAGGTGTGACATCCCCCCCTCCCCTTTCCGAAAAAAATTCTGGATCTGCGCCTGTATCTAAGTGAATGTCTGCAACGGCAACGGGAAGATAACTTGACAATGTGAAATTTGTCGACTGTGGCATGCGATGATCTTTGACCCTTTTTGAACTTCAACCTAACCATTTGCATTTATCTATTTTTATGCAGTCTATACTAAATCTTGTACTTACCGATTGTGCTAGGTCTTGTCAACGAATTCATGAAATATAATCCATATAATCCAATTAAAACACAACTGATTTTAACTGACCACATTGCACCGTCAGCATACATATGCTAAATAATCTCATTCCGCAAACCTTTCCTGATTCCGGTTCTTCATTAGATGAAGTATGAATCGGCCGAGGTGTGCCGAGTGGTGACATCTAAAAATATGGTAATGGGTGACGCAAACCCAATGTGAATGTAGAAATTTTCAATAAGATGTTCACACGTAAAACTGTTTAGTACAAGAACAAATTTCAAACTATCATAATAAACGACGTTTTAACATAACTTTGCCATCTAGGTCTATTTTAAAAAAAAATGTGAGAGAGAGAGAGAGAGAGAGAGAGAGAGTGTGTGTGTGTGATGGCGGGGGGGGGGGGAAGAGAGAGAGAGATAGGCATTGACAAATTAGTTGGGTTGTATTTTCAATGTTTTTTTTTCCTGACCAAATACTAAAATCAGTTTGCACATTTTGATAAATTCATCAAAAACGCTTTTTACTAAAATAATATTTTATGTCGTTGAGAAAGTAAATTTAAAAAGTTCCAAATTATGGGCAAAATATTTATCAGAATCTAATTAATAAGTAATTTACTTCATTAATGAAAGTCTGTTATTTCAGACTGGTAATGAATTAAGTATACAAAAGACATATATGAGGCTCATAGATCATTTGGTCTCCTGAAAATTTTATGCTCAATTTGACGAATACATGTACAGTGATAATTATAGAATAATTTTGACTTTTTCCTTGGAAAGTCCAATATGAAGGAGTGTGTATTTAGAGGCAAACACCTTAGTGCGGGTATTACTGTCTCATGACAGCATCTAGTTTGTTAAATTATAAACCGCAAATGTATAAACTTAGGTCCCCTGTCGCAGTAGGTGCTGGCACGAAAAAGATCCCTCCCTACTCAATGGCCATAAGTGCAGATTATAAGACACAATTTGCAGCTCTCCACCGGCAAGTGGTGTCATCTCCATATGAGTAATAAATTCTATAGATGTGCGTTAAACAACATATACAATCAATCAGTTAACCTTGCGCACATAAATATTGCACAGCCTATATCTTTTTGAAAATCGCCCCTCATCAAGCAATGTGTTGCTACGCTGGAGGGCGTAACTTCATTATCCAATAGTGTTTTTCAATAAATGATTATTTATGAAGAAGATTCAAATAATTCACATGAAAGTAAAATAAAATAAGATTGACCAAATAAGTCCATGCTGACCGATGTAATTCTCGAAACATGTCAGCTGCGAGCTAGTATGTTTACGTGGGCATTTATCCATGACGATACAAATCCACATGGCTTGTTATATTTCTAAACCAATCAAACGGAGGTTTAGTGTACGTAGAAAAAACTTAGTGAAGAAATTTAAAATGCTTGAAAATTGCTTTTTATTAAAAAACATAGAGCTCAAGGTTGTTCAACAATTTTTTTCCCTCAGCCTTGAGTTATGTAATTTACACATAATATTACAAACTCGACTCTGAATAAACATGTGTTCGATTGTGATTTACGAAATCTTTGAAGTGGGTATCTGTCATTTCTTTTGAAACCGCGGGTATTGATAAAATCAAGGGACTTCACATTCAAAATGCAGCTTCGTATGTCGTTTTTATCTACTGTTTGACATTTACAAATGTTCAATCAAATAAAACAAACAACAGTTAATAATACATGTATAACTCTACTGTGAAGGTTTTAATAAAGGATAAACCAGGACCTATGCACGTTACAAAAACTTTTTTGAGAACTGTTCTGAAAGCAGATTTAGTTATTATTACGTAATATTCTATCGATATGTAAATTTGGTCAAGTCATCGCCAATCACGAGGTCTTGTATTTTTCAATATAAAATGCAGGTTTGTTAACACTTTTCTACTTGTAGCACGTCTACTGCTGTGATCATAGAGAAAAGTTATCTAAGGTAAGAAAATGTTGACTTGAAATATATCATTAATTCAAAATGAAGAAATTAATAACTTAAGTTGCAGAATAATAATTCTTTTTAATGTTACGCAAAGGTCATCTGCATAATTGAATTTTTAAAATGCTTTTCATACTTATTGCATGTTCCACTGTTTAACTTCTAAAGGTAACTGAAAAAATGACAATGAGCTTCAATATTTCTTCCAATGTAGTTTCATTTTTGTTCTTTTTTGTAATCAAACATTTCAATAAATTAACTGATCTTCATATTTTAGCCTTAATTGACGAAAAAATTAATATTACGTTAAAGAATTTACAGTGTAGGTACTCTTGTCGGTGCTTTTTTGGAAAATAGTTGTTTAATTCTTCTTTCTATACATTTTTGGTATTTAGTCAATCAGACAGCTATATTCTGTTTATGGAGTTTTTATAATAAAAGTTTGATTTACACTTTACAGGGTGACCGGCATGCTATTCATAGGTTTTACTTTTTTGAATGAAAGAAGAAGTCTGAAAAGGGGTCATCTTTGGTTTTTGGTTACTTGATATATTTGTATCTCCAATTAAAAAATCAAGATTTACAAGACTCGAAAAAAAACATTTTAGCTGTAAGCACTTTCTGCCTTTTAATGACCCTTCAGAAAATTACAAAATTAATGTCATATTGCATAGTGACGTTCCGAAGCTCAACGTCAACTGTTTGAAGAGGCAAAAAGCGCGTACTGTTAAAATGTGCATTTGAGTCTTGTGAATCTTGAAATTTTTACTAGGAGTATTCAGTATTTAAGTCTATCAAAAATTAGATTTTCATATATATACAATTTATATGCAGTATATACAAAATAAATTGTAGAGAGTAAGGCTTTAATCAGAAGAAAAAAATCAATAAATTAAAAGAATGTTTTGTTACATTCCGATACATCACAGGTTAAACATAACGAAAATAAAATTCAGTATTGATTTTTCACAATGTTCGTTTTTCAAAAATAGTCTAAGCAATTTTTTTTATGGTCTCTTGTCGAGTTTAAATCTCAACCAGTCCAGGGGATGATATTTTCAGACAAATTCAAGTTCATCAGTCTGTGTTTTCTTCGAGGTCTATTACTTCTCTCTCTTTTTCGGTTTCTCCTTATGTTACTTTAATGTGTGCATAAAATCCAACGTACAGTTGTAACAACACCTGTCTTCTGGCAAACTGCTTGTCATGCTAGTTTTGATCTCATTAGTCTTGCTAATACGTTCTCGTATTACTAATATATTACACTTGTATTCGTAAATGAAAGAAAAAATTAGTCATTAACCTAATATTAAACAAACAATTACAATGTCAATAGTGTTGGAAATTTATCAGTTCTACAGTGCAGCAATGTGAATGTGACTTTTTAACAGCGGCATTAATCCTACAATAAACTGATTATGCTTGAGGTTAAAATTTTGAATATTAGTAGTCTATTTATTTTGTTTGTAAGTTGTTTAACGGAGATTTTTTCACCCGTATGGAGAATCCGCAACTTTTCGGCGTAGAGCTGCAAATTTTGACCTAAACAACATCTGCTGCAACAAAGGACATTGGTTTACACGATCTCATTCAAATGACCGGATCCACGTCCCACAGTGGGTTTCGAACCCGCCACATAAGGAAGAACATGGAGATAACGAACATTATTCAATATCAAAGTCCATAAAACAATACAAAGTAGGAGTAGAGCAAAAACGGACCTCCAAAACATCAGAAGTGGGATCAGGTACCATGGAGGAGTGAGCATCCCCTGCTGACCGGTCACACCCGCAGTGTGCTCCTTGTCATGATCGGGAAACAACCGAAAAATCCGTCGTCAATTTGATTATAAATAATGGACTAACAAATGGTATGAAAAACGTCAGTCAGCATTTGACTTAAAGATTAATTATATTTGCTGACAACGCCATAGTATCTACCATAGAACTTATGAAATGATGACTTAAAACGAGACAGCTGATTACCGTCTTCCTTGGAAGACGGTATTGTATAGTTGAAGTTTTTTACAGTCTTCGGACTATGCACTTTCTCTGTTTTTTGATTGGTAGAAAATGCATGATGAGAAAATTTTCAATTATTTCATTGGTTGAAATACTGTTCAAGGCAAGGGAGATAACTTTCTGATGATCTAATTTTCCTACGACTTAACAATTTTGCAAGATTTTCAATCTTAAAAAAAATGAAAAAACGAAGAACAAAATCAGCAGTAATTAATTCCTAATAACATGATTTTTTGTATAGCAATCAATAAAAAGACCTCTTTAATTTCATTATAAAAAAAGATCTCGGCCAGTCAAAGTTTACGGAGATGACCGAGCGTCAACCGTGGTAGGGCTAATGCCAGTAAAAAGCTAATGTAGAATACAAAATCAAGAAATTCAAAAGAATTATACGCCCTGATAGGTGTAGATCAGTTTACTGTTTAAGATTGTTGCTAAAGACGGTAAGCATTTTTAAAAAGCTCTACTTGTATTCTTGTTTTATTAACTTGCTTGTCAATTTACCTCGTTTTAGAAATTGTTCATACGTATAACATGCTCTTGCGTATCGAATCAACTGAGATATATACACTCCGTATGCATGTGATGAAGGTATATTGCTGCTTAAGTAAGGAAAGTTGACGATAGAAAAGTTAAAGTCATCACGTTTATCATTTAGCTTGGTTGTTAGATTAACATTAACGTCTTTTTCAAGTAAAATATCCAAATATGAAACAGATGTGTCAGACACTGTGGTATCTTTTATCTCAAGCTCTCCATGATATATCGTATTGACGTAGGAATGGAAATTACCATTGTTAACTGACAATACGTCGTCGAGATATCTGAATGTCGATTTGAAGGCCACAGCAAGCGTTTTCTTCTTTTCACGCACAAGATTTTGCATAAATTCTGCTTCATATGAATACAAAAATAGAAGCAGCTGTCAATGATATCAAAAAGCATGGACTTTAATTTATCGTGGGGAATGGTTGTATATAAAGTTGAAAAGTCGTAAGTTTTTAAGCTGTTGATTTTGGTAAAATCTTGTGATTTCAAATTGTTCAAAGGTTCGTTGGAATTTTTGAGTATCCACATCTGATTCGCACCACTTCTTGAATATATAGTTGCACAATACTCTTGAAGTTTTTCCATCACTACTGTCAATATCTTGGTGAGGAGTAACGGAAGAGGCTTGGTTGAACATTTACTGGAGAGGGCTTATATAGGCTATGCCTGCTGCCCAATCCGTTTATGTAATTGTTACATAATAAAATATGTTCAAATCACAACATTTACTGGAACCCGCAATGTATCTTTGTTTGTAAGGATTCTTATGAAGTTTATGAAGGATCAACCCCTAACTCTGCGATTCTAGATCAGTTGCTCTAACACTGAGCCAGATGTTCTACGAAAAGTCTATTTGTGAAAGACAAGGTAAATCAATATTTGTTTTTTCCGACACCAGAATACAAGCTCTGATCTGTGATAATGGATCTTGCAAATCAATGATCTCTTTAAACCGCCACGTTTCGCGGAAAAAATATCGCTGAAATCCGTTTGATTTTTAAACTTCATTATGCCAACAAAGGAATTGACCCAGTTTTTATAAGAATAAGAATATATTCTTAATCACAAAAAGGTCCAGTCTTCTATTTCACTATATTTCAAGTTGAGGTCCAAACCTGGAAATTCTTATAAATAGACATCGACAATTGCTTCCAAACTTTTTAATTATAGAAAAAAAACCTCTACATTGTAGACTTAATCAAAAGTTATCAATTAGGACCTTCAGTCACCCATTATAATGAAATATATGTATATAACGAAGCGTATTCCAGCTCAAAAGTCCATAAAATATGAACAGAGAAAACACGGACCTAAAAAAAATCAGAGGTGTAATAAGGTGCCGTGGAGGACTGAACATCCCCGCCGTGTGTTCCTTGGAATTGTGTTGACCAAAAAACTTACAAAATCATGACTTTTGACGAGACTGCTGATATTCTTGACTCATTAACTTGTTTGACAGTGATTTACATCGTTTTAGAAATTGGTCATACGTGGAGCATACTCTTGATCGAATCAACCCGTATGCAGGTGATGAAGGTATATTGCTGCATAAGTAAGGAAAGTTGACGATTGAAAAGTTAAAGTCATCATGTTTACATGTATCATAAAGCTGGTTCGTAGATTACCACTAACTTCTTTTTTCAAGTAAAATATCCGAATATATAGCCATTGTGTAAGACTATAAGCGTTCCAAAGTTTAGGAAATTTTTATCTTTGATCTTTCAACTGACATAATAATGCCATAAATATTATGAAATATGTAGAAGATAACGCCATGGCTAAATCTTAAAGAAAATGAGATACTTTGTCCGATGGATTAAACGCTGACAAAGCAGGTAACAACATTGTCTTTGCTTGAAAGGCTCGTTATTAAAATTGTATTTTAAAGGAATTAAGATTTAATTCTATAAATGGTAATCCATCTTATTTCCATAGCTTCCTTTTCGAAAAAGAAATTCCGCAAAACCAATGTCGGTATTACAAATTCTAGACATTCCCAACAATCAAAATGAATTTGAATTACTTATTTATAACTATAAGGGATTCCAAACTGCATAAAAATATCTACAAACAAAGATACTTCCCAGTAAATGTTCTTCAAAGCTTCGTTCTTTAATTCTAACTAATATATTTACAGCAGTGAAGGAAAAAAATAGAAGTAAAATACAACAATATATTTCAGAACTGGTGTAATAAATATGGACACTTAAATTCTTAAATGAACTTTCAGAAAATTATAAATATTACCTCAATCAATTACTTCACAACGTACGACTGTTCAGCACTATATAACTATTCCAGGATAAATTGAAGTTCAAGGTTTTTGATTTCACAGACAACTAATAATAAATTGGAAGTGGTAAAAATATTTACCTTGTCATCGGTCATCTGATTTTTTTTGTTAAATGACATTCTGTTTGCACACGAAAGTACTCTAAAGTAAATATCCAAAACATGAAAGAGCTTCTGATTGACAAAATCTAATAAAGTTTCTATGAGATTAGGTCTTCCAACAATTTGTTCGAATTCCAATGCTACCAATGGACCTATTACGGTATTGTGTTAAGATAAAGCAGAATATTTTATTAAAAAAAACTTTACATAAGAAGAATAAAATACTTGCTGTGGCCTTCAACGTGACATCTCAGTTTGTTGAGTATGTTATCAATTAACAATAGTAACTTCTATTCATATAACGATTCGATATATTCCAGTGAGCATGAAAGAAGAGATGCACAGATTATGACACATCGGCTTCATATAAAGATATTTAAACATGAAAATACGTTAATTGTTATCAAACTACAAGTATCTCATATAGCAAAACACCCTCATCACCGGCATTTGGGGTTTATGTCTACTGTTGATTCGATACGCATCTATGTATGAACACTACTAAACGAGGCAAACTAGTCAATGGATTTGTAATGGTGAATACACATGTATATGATAAAAGCACTAGCTCCAAACATTAACGACTTATTAACAAGGCAAGAGTTCTTGGCACCTTTTTTCCAGAATCATAATTTGACATTTAAGATGAAAATGAGAATTCCAAATTCTTACTGCACATTCAGAAAACAACTTTCAAAATTTAATTTGACTATTGCATAAATTGGTAGAGGAGTTTTAGGAACCATGGTCTTTTTTGACCAAAAAAACGTCGTTTTATTTCCCCTATTTGACCCCTAAGGTGAGAATAAAAATTCGAAAACCTTATAGATCTTCTTCATTTCACCAATTACATTTTCAAAAAGATGATTTGTCTACAGGTTTAAATGAAAGAGGAATTCGAGGGGCCAACAATGTATCCCTTGCTTTCTTTAGATTGATTGATTGAATGTTGTTTTACATCCCATTCGAGAATTTTTCACTCATGAAGAGACGTCACCATATATCGATGAAGGGCTTCATATTTTGACCTTTACTCGGCACAGAGAGCAATTGAGCAGTTAGAGATCTTTATCATCCAACGCCGCTGTGACACAGGACCTCAGCTTTTAAGGTCTCATCCGAAAGACCTGCAACTTTCACTTCAAGTGCCGACCACATGGCAAAGAAACGTTGCTAATCATTTTGATCGACTTAGTTCAGTCACTGCCGAGATTCGAACTCATGACCTCTCGATCAGGGAGCGAGAACCCTACCGACTGAGCTACCGTAAACTGTAAATTTTCTTAGAAAGATAAAGCATAAAAAGGGGCATAAAACTTTTTTCTAACACATTCATCAATTTTAATATCAAATAAAGTTAGTTGTTTTATTACATGCAGTTTGTTGCTGTTGAGCTGTTTGAGTGCCGAAATGGACGATGACAATCCAATAAGACAAGATCTAACTGGGGTAAACTATGTTTTATTCAAGCTTGTGTGTTTATTTTTAAAGAAAATGTTTAAATACTTTATGAAAAAAAGAAGCTGTAGTTTTCCTAACAAAATAACCATTCTTAACAATAGTTTAACTATTAACTATTATTAAAGTATTCTTTACAATGATAGTAAATCGAAGTATTTTTACTTTGGATTTCAGGTTGTTATTATAATAACATGATATTTTATGCCCCCGTAAACGTAGTTTAGGGGGTATATAGTTTTAGTCCGTCCGTCTGTCTGTCTGTCTAGCTGTCTAGCTGTCTAGCTGTCTTTCTGTCTGTCTGTCTGTCTGTGTCTCTGTCTGTCTGTTTGTCCGCAAAAACTTTAACCTTGCCCATAACTTTTGATTTAGTAGAGCTATGACTTTCATATTTCACATGTATATTTCTTGTGAGAAGACCTTTCTTTGGGTACCACCAAATTGACCTTTTGACCTTGGAGTTTGACAACTTTTACACAAAAATTCTTAACTTTTACTTTTGCCATATCTTTTGAACAGTAGATACCAGGACTTTAATATTTCAAACATATATCTTTTGCGGTAAGATCTTTCATTGGATACCAACAACTTTGACATTTTGACCTTGACCTTGGAGATTTCCTTACTTATGAAAAAACTTTAACTTTGGCAATAACTTTTGAACAGTAAGTGCTAGGGCTTTTATACTACACATATGTAATCCTTGTGAGAGAGAAGATGTTTCATAGGATACCAAGAACTTTGACCCTTTGATCTTGACCTTGGAGTTTGACCTACTTTTAAAATACAATCTTGAACATATTTGTTAAGGTTTATGACTAGGGCTTTTAATTCCTGTGACAAGACCCCTCATTTGATACCAAGAACCTTGACCCTTTGACCTTGACCCTGGAGTTTGACCCATTTTTACATAAAAAAAATCTAAACTTTTAATTTGGCCCACATTTTTAAACGGTAGATACAAGGAATTTCATATTTCAAATATCAATTCTTTGTGGCAAGACCTGTCATTTGAAATCATCACTTTTGACCTTTTGACCTTGACTTTTGAGAATTCCGAACTTACGAGAAAAATTTAATCTTTGCCATAACTTTTTAAAAGTAAGGGCTATGGCCTTAATCCTTCAAATATGTAATCCTTGTGAGAAGAGCTTTCATTGGATATCAACAACATCGACACCTTCACCTTGACCTTTGAGTTTGACCTACTTTTTACAAACTTTAACCTTGGCCATAACTATTGAACGGTAAGGACCAGCGCTTTCATACTCCCCGAATGTAATCTTTAAGACAAAGACTTTTTTATATAAATGAACAACCTTGACCCTTTGACCTTGACCCCGGAGTTTGTCCTACCTTTAAAAAAACGTTAACCTTGGTCATAACCTTTAAACAGGTGGTGCTAGGGTTTTAAATTTCACATTTGTATTTCTTCTGAAAAGGCCTTACAAACATATTTCGTCTGCATTTGAGAATGCTTAACATTCGCAATGTTTCCATACCATGCATACGGGGGCATCTGTGTTTCACAAACTTATCTTGTTTAAAATATTATATTGGAAAATTAATTAAATATTCAAATATTAGTTCCAAATTTCATATCACTGTAATGCAATTTAAGAGATTTAAAACTTTTTTGAAAACTGAAAAAAAAAACCAACTACCTAATAAGGATTCATATTAATCAAAGTATTACAGTTTTTACTATGGAATATATGGAGATAACGAACGGTATTTAACCTCAAAATCCCATGAAACAATACAAAATGGAAGCAGAGCAAACACGGACCTCCAAAACATCAGAGGTGAGATCAGGTGCTATGGAGGAATGAGCATCCTATGCGACCGGTCACACCCACTGTTTGCATCTTGACCTGATTGAGAAATAACGGAAATTTCCGTCGTCACTTCAGTGTGTAATTAATGGCTTAATAATAAGTATGAAAAGCGTCAGTCTGCGATATTAAATTTGACTTAATCATAATTGTATCGACTATAGAACGAAAGAAATGATGACTTTAAAGGGGACTGCTGATATTCTTGACTCAATAACTTATTTGTCAATAATTTACCTCGTTTAAGATGTTGTACATATCTAATGAATGCCCTTTAGTATCGAATCAACTGAGAGATATGAACCCATTATGCATGCGATGCATTATGTTTCCATTACCGAATATAATATACAGTGGACCCTCGTTTATCCGGACGCTTTGGTTCCCAGTTAATTTGTCCGGATATGTGAAGCATCCGGATATCTGAATCACCAGTTAAACAAGACAGAATAACATTTAAAAATTTCGTTCCGATGAAAAATCGTCCGGATACTGAAGCATCCGGATATCTGGCGTCCGGATATCTGAAGGTCCACTGTACAAATATGAAACAGATGTGTCAGACGCTGTGGTTTTTTTTATCTCAAGCTCACCAGGTATATCGTATCGACATACGAATGGAAAAAACCATTGTCCATTGACATATCGTCGATAATTCGATAAGTCGACTTGAAGGCCACAGCAAGTGTTTTCTTCTTTTCACGTATAAGATTTTGCATATATAGTTCAGTATAGTAAATTTTTGTTAGGGTTAGTAGTAGAATTAAAGGAGATCAAAAACTTTACTTTTTATGTTTTTTTTAACATTAAAGGTTACACAGTTTTCCCGCTGATATACTATCCATATGATAATGCATTCTTTTTTCTATATGGCAGGTAAAGCAGCTTAAAAGAGTATCGTCTAATAGGCAGAAATTTGAAAAAGCATCAAAAGTGAAGAATACTTTGAAGACAAATAAAGGGTTTGGAATACATGGAGAGGATGAGGTGCACCAAAATTTATCTCTCAATGTAAGACACTTACTATAAAACATTCCAGTTGTGAATTGATCATCAGTTTTTAAATTTAACTCCTGAAGTTAAAGAATTTTTCTTAGAAAAAACGGTTCACAATATCATTGGATCTTTATTTATCTATTTAATCTTCAAAGAAAATTTTGTTTAAAAAATATCATTCTTCGTGTCTATCATTTTTTTGCTTTGATTTGTTCTTGTTCTTCGCGTTAATTATGTTTGACTTTTTCTTGTTTTCAAATTTAACCTATACTAAACGTACGATATTTGGCATGTATGCAATATATCCATGGTAAATGTTCCACTTTTTTTACCTTTACTAGACCCTATTCTCTGACTACAAGAATTTATTGTCTCGTGAATATATAACATGTTTACCAAGTCTGCGATTGATCATTAAACTTCCGCTTTGTGATAAACGCAATGACTTCAACTATTCTATCGTCAACTTCTCTTATTTAACATGTAGCAATGTACCATTATCACCTTCGTATTAAGTTCTTTGTCACCCAGTTGTTTCGATACGCAAGAGCATGTGATGATATTTTACTTAGGAACACATTCTGAAACAAGGAAGGCTACAGACAAATAAATTGAAGACTGAATTATATAAACATTTGTCAATTTCTATGATCGATACAATTACATTGTATGCAAATAAAATCTAGCGTCAAATCGAACGTCTTTCACAAATTATAAGGTAACTTTTAACATTATAAAGTTCACATATGTTTTCCCGAACCTTGCACAGTGCAACAATTTCAAATTCTGAGGAAACCAAAAACAGCCTTTTGAAAGATCGAGATGATTGTTTGTATCTTCACATTTCATTGTCATAAACATATTATCTATTCATGACATGGGAAATTGAAAACCATAGAAGGGGGGATTTATTAATAAAACTTTTAGAAATCATTGTCATCATTTTCTTTAGGAGACAACGATTGAAGAAGATGAGTTTGAGAAACAGTATGTGACTAACATTGAATTTCACACTTTCAATAAAATTTAGTACATTTAATATATATAATCATCGTTTAAAATATCACATGTTTTAATTAATGATGATATAAAAACCATATTTATCTTTTTACTTTTTTTATTTGAATATGGATTTGGGATAATCTTTTAAGAAAAGACAGAACATATTTGTATGTGGCAGCGATTGATATTGGGACCACCTTCTCGGGATACGCTTACTCCAGTCACAAAGATTTTATGAAGGATCCCCTCAAAGTATTCTCACACCTCTGGTCAGCAGCCAACTACATATCACAAAAGACGTCAACATTTATCCTATATGATCCAGAGGATAAATTCTATTCCTTTGGATCTGATGCTGAAACCAGATACATCGAGCTATTAGATCAAGAAGACGCAGAAAAGTGGAAAGCCTTTTACAATTTCAAGATGAAGTTGTATGAGAAAAACGTAAATTGCTTTTAAAATTGTAATTCTAGCAAGGTCCAAATGCTACTGATTAAGACTTGCATACACATTTAGTTAAGTAGAAGAAATTTTAATAACTCTCTTTCCATTTTCTTCAGGTTACTTTGGAAAATGCCGAACTTCTTTTGGAAGATGATCAAGGTCGAAAGAAACCGGCTTTGACAGTGTTTGCGGATTGTATTCGCTCTCTGAAAGACAGCCTATTCAATAACCTTGAGGAACAAGGAATAAACATTTCGACAGATAAAGTCCGATTTATCCTAACAGTTCCTGCAATTTGGAATGACAAATCGCGCGGTTTCATGATAAATGCAGCCAAAGAGGTGTTTATATTATTTAGATTTGTTTTAACTTTGAATTCAAATGAATCTACTACATTGTGTCACTGGTACTTAGATATGATTACTCCTAAATTAAGTAAACGTACATGTAACGTCAACAAATGAAAAATTATACATCTAAATTGTATCTTCTGGTTCTGAGGACAATAGAAAGATAATCGTCTCCCAAGACAACAAACTACATGTATAATAAAACAAAATAGTTAATGTGGAAGGGGACGATAAACTTGCCTTTGTCCGAATTTTGCCAGTAAATAGGTGTTTTAATATACCGATGTTGACTTTACATTTGTTACGTCATAATCTATATGTCACAATCCGGACAAAACCAAAAGTGTTCCGAGATAAAAAGGCGAGGGAAACAGAGTGCTGCCGGTGAATAGTTTGATGACTGTTTCACCTTGGGCAAATAGCAAAAATACTAATAGGGACTGTTTGGAAAAAATTGCATGGTATATTTGTCATATTCTTATATAGAAAAAAAATCAAAGAGGAATTATAAATGGAGAAAACGAACAGTATTTCAGCTTAAAGGTCCACAAAACAATATAAGATAAGAACAGAGCAGACATGGACCTCCAAAACATCAGAGGTGAGATCAGGTGCCATTAAGGAGTGAGCATCCCCTGCAGACCGATCACAACCGCTGAGTGCTCCTAAAATCAATTATTTACTTATGATTTATGAAATAAAATTTAGAAAGAGGTGTTAATAAATCTTGAAATTTACTAGTATATGTTATTTCGTACTGTTATCGTAATTTTGACTATATCTTAGGCTGGAATTCAGAAAGAACATCTCCTGCTCTCTTTGGAACCAGAAGCAGCAGCTGTTCTTTGCAAAGAACATCATGTGGATGAATATTATAAATTCGGATCCGAAGACCTCATCAATTTTGACTTTTGTTCCGAGTTTGTTGTAGCTGATTTAGGAGGCAAGTAAATAATAGTCATTCTTAAAGAAAAGATGAGAATCTTTTTCTTTTCCTTTGTCTCAAAGTTGTGGAATTTATTTCGAACATGAATTTTTTACACTTATGTTTCAAATTCTTACAAAGAATAACTTACAAAGCCGTTGTGGATAACATGAAGTTTTGATTAATTCAATAACGTTTTTTATCGCAACGACCATGCCATTTTTGAGTCATAATTTTTCATTGGATTATATAAGTAAAAGTAGCAAAACCTTTCGTTTTTCAATATGAAAAAATTACCTCGATAAGTCATTTTTCTTTTTTTTTTTCGTAAATATGTTTCAACATCTAATTATTTTTTTAGGTGGAACCATTGACATCACTACAAACAAAATTTTGCCTTTTGGAAGTCTGAAAGAGATAAAGAGCGCCAGAGGAGGTGACTATGGTGGTACCATGGTCGATAGAGAATTCTTTGATTTTTTAAAAGATTGCATTGGTAGCGATTATGATGACTTTATTAGGGAACATCTGTCTGAATTCCATGACCTCAGACATGATTTAGAAATAAAAAAGAGGCAAACAGGAGAGGCTACTCACTTTTTTGTCAGCCTTACAATAGCACCCGCCTTTGAACAAAAAATTGACCGCTCCAAAATGAAAGAACACAACGACCGAATAAAAATCAGTCATGGAAAATTGCAGATTCCAGTCGAGTTTTTCCAATCTTTTTTCAGCAAACCAATACAAGGTATTTTGACGTGTCTCGAGGAGGCTGTCGCAGATGAAATAAAATCCATTCTCCTTGTTGGTGGATTTGCTAATTCTAAACTAATTTACCAAGCTGTGAAGGAAAAGTTTCCAAGCAAACATGTATATTGCCCACCTGACGCTGATCTTTCTGTCTTGAAAGGGGCTGTTATCTACGGACACAACCCTGATCTTGTTGCCAGTAGAATCAGCAGAGATTGGCTAGGCGTAATTCCTGATGAGAATTTTTCTCCTGTGAATCTTAAAAATTCCAAAAACGATTTTTATTTGCTTACACAGAAAGGTCATCCGATAACGATGGATGAAAAATTTTATCATCGTTTTATCGTGGATAAAAAATGCGACAAGGATACCATCAGTCTAAATATTGTTTCTTCAGCTGCAGATTGCTTGCCAACTTCAACCACGGAAGATTTAAAGCGAGTTAAAAGCTTTGATTTACCTTTGCCATCACCAAAAGTAGCAGCACTAAGAATTATAGATCTAATAGTTAAACTTAAGGGAACGCAATTCGATTTCAAGGCAAGAGTGAAATCAAGAAGCCCATGGCTGTAACTTCAATCCTTCAAATTCAGAAACAATTTCTTTTTTGTAAATTATATCTTCCTTTTAATATATGTTTATTAGTTTACAAACAATTTCGCTTTCTCTATCTATATCTCTGTGTATGTTTATTATTTTCATTATTTCCCTAATATTAATATATAATAACTTTATGTACATTGCATCCAATAAAAAGCCTTACTGAAACGTTGTGTATTTATATGATATTGATTTATGCTACCAGTATCATAGTGTTGGGAAATTTGTACGAAAGCTCAGAAGTTTCATTCAAACTTTCAAAGGTTAAAACCAAAATATGAAATATTAAATAAGACTGCTTTTCAAGATTCAACACTCCTGCAATTAAATCAATCGGGTACTGCTTTGCATGTAAGCATTCAGTGGTCAGGCTATCAATGGCTTCCTCTCTCTCTTTTTCTCTCTCTTGACACAGTATAAAATTATTGCATCAGCGGTATGAGAGAGAGAGAAAACATCGCACACGGCCGGGAATTTAAAAAGTTTTGATTTGGGTCATTTTAAGGAAAATTGTCAGTCGGTCGGGAGAAAGCAACTAAACACTTTATTTGAAAAGATGACATCATTGTTATTTTTTAATCGTTCTAGAAAGACCACATACATGTACATATTTTTAAAAAAAATTATTCTGTTACATATGTTAGTTGTATATCAACACTTGAGGGAAAGTTTCGATCGAATAGATCAAGTAAAATGCATACTGAAATAATCAGGCCTCTGAAAGCCTTTTCTGTTTTGTTTTTGGATGGGATGGGGTTTTAAATAAATTCTATAATTTTGTTCCATAATATTCGCAGCGTAATTGAAACGTCGGAAAGGGTGTGTATGTCCCTTTTGTTGTTGTTGTTGTTGTTGTTGATTACAGAATTACGATAAAAAGTATAAGGAATATTAATTTAGCTTTCCGTTATTTCGCGAGTGTAGATGGTGTAGTTTTCTCTTCTTTACTTTCAATACCAATTGAACTGTTCCCTGAAATTTTTAGTAATTGTGCATTCTATAACCCTCATCGCGTCCAACATCATTTAATTTAATATGAAGAATTAAGTGTATATTTGAATAAATTTAAAGAAGCAATATAACCTTTTTTTCTCTTTTATTAAAGAAGCAATATAACCTGAAAACAAGAGGAAAAAAAATTAACAAATTTAATTTTTAATACCTGTTAATATAAATTTAAAAAAAAATTAAACATGCTTGCTATCTTTGTATACTTCCTCAGATGAGGTAGAAATGATGAACCATATATAATTTTAAAATCTGAAACTTGTTCATGTAGACAGTGCTCGAAGACGGGACTAGACGATTATTATTATGCAATCAAGAAGAAATGGCAGGTGTCACTTTGTAGGTGTGGATCCGAATACTGTAATATACACATGTGCGCGTATATGTATACCCCCCCGGAATACAGTCTGAGGGTGAATCTTACAATAGATTTTCAATTATCTGTGTATAGAGTGGTTCGCCCATGCTCTGTGCGCCGAAGTTAATAAACCAATGAATGAATACATGCCCCCCCCCCCCCCCTCCCTCTCTATCATACCTAATACGCGATTTCCATACATTTGCAATGTGGAATAAAAATTATATTAATTATAGAATAAAATTTATTTTATTGAATAGCAATGTAGCATGTTGTTATACCATCTGGCACAACACAAAACATTTATTAATTGATAGTTAATTCTTTCAATTATACAAAAAAAAAAAAAATGAGCCTGAGGGAAATGAAAAATAAATCATCTGATGACTAAGGCATATAGCATCGTTTTTGAAAAGTGGAGCCAGACAATTGTTGTTGTTTTTTTTTTTGTGGGAATTACTCGGCCTGGAAAAGTTGAGAAGCCAAAAAAAAAAAAAAAACATTGCTCAAACTCTGTTATCCTATTTTGAGGGGGGGGGGATTTTCCTTATATTTCTTCATTTTCTTTATATTTCTTCATTTTCCTTATATTTCTTTACCGTAGTATTAACTTGGGGGGGGGGGGGGGGGCTGTACTTCAATGAATATTTTCAATAGAAAAAGTAATGTTGGTATCTTACATATGCTTGTAACGGAAAATTAATTATGAGGAAAAAAATATTAATTAGAATATAGACCAGATTGAGAAGTTAATATACAGTTGATATAAGAAGATTTGAAACTTCCATTTAAAAAGAATGAATCTACTGCAGTTGGGTTATCTTCTATTTCGGCCTTTTAGTGAACACAAAGTCAATATCGGCATTTTAGTCAACACTTGGTCAGGGTCAAATGAGCGTTTTATAAGAAGACCTGATTGTCATGATGATGGAAGTAAGAAGTTAACAGTTTAGCAATTCTTCCTAAAAATAAAAATACAACATTATAAGGTCAAATCTCATTTTTCTTTATTCTATCTTCATATAATGGTATATTCAGAATGAAATTTGCCTAAACACCTTATAGATTTCATAAAATCAAGTGACAGGTAGAACCTACCTCAGACAGCGATGTGTGTCCCAAGGGAAAGATAAATATGGAGTTAGGAAGGATAACTCCAATCTATAACCCGTTTCCTTGTATAAGTGTAGCATAACACAGAACATGAAAAAAGTGGGATGCATTTAAATTCAACATATTCACTATATTAGTATCATTCATAAGCAAATGTTGTCATAATTTTACTTAATGAAACTACATAGAACATGCCTACCATGAAAATATATGACGTATGTAGAACAAAACTATAAACAACAGGGAGGTAATAAAACGACTAAACATCACCACTTCAAGATACTTAAAAAATGGTCATTAAAAAGCGCTACCTCTGTTCAAACTGCAATTTTGCATAAAAATATCTAAACATATTTTGCACTTTTTAATTGATGGGTTAGCATAGGTTAGGCAGAAATACCTGTGTAAATATTTTTTTTTCTAGTTGACAAATTCATAACACGTGCGTTTAGAATGATTTTTGTTAACATTTCAAGTTATAACAGATAAAACCTGAGTAAGAATAGCTTTCTATGAACCTACAAAAATTATATTTACCTTGTTCGGACAATGTCATACGCCAGGGAAGTATTCCAAGTACGAGGGTTGTCCCATAAAATCGTGGACAAAGCGTTTTTCTCAAAAAGTAATAGGCGCACTAAGCTGAAAATTTCAGTAATTGTTTATCTATCATATTTAAGTGCATGATAATTTTTTTGATAAAATATATGCAAAAATAAAGATTTTATTATGCTTGAATGTGTACGGGGTATTGACCTACGGCGCACGGGCAAAAAACCCAGGTTTTATTAAAGAATACACAAGTTTGAATTCAAAATAAAAGCTTTAAATACATACGATTTGGATTAAAATTATCCTTATTCAATTCCACAATCAATTTTGTAGTCTTTGTAAAAATTTTAAGGCATTTGGTTAATTTTTCGCAGTTTCTCGAGCATTCGATATGGGAAGGTGGTAAACACAACACCCGAAAAATGGCGACGTTTTATGACGTTTCGGCGCACCGGAGAGCAGTTCAGTTTTAATTCAATGTTGTTGACACCTTTAGAGACATGAAATGACCACAGAAGAAAAAAGATTATACAAATATCACAATATCTTAAGTATACAAATGAAATTGAAGTTTTCTTAGCGAAGTCTTTTTTGATCGAGTCCCTGGGGAGTACAAAAAATACGGACAAACTCCTAATGCAATAGCAAAAGACGCTGTCACAATAGACCGCCGATATGAGATTTTCTGTTAGTTGAATGATGGAGAGAATATTGTCCGTAACTTACTAATAAATTTTTCAGAAGATCGCATGAGAGTGCCAATTAGTTCCTCGACTATTTATGGAGACTAAAGAATGTGTATCAATGAAATTCCTAAATTTAAGTCGGACTCATCCAACTTCATTTTCAGGAAAGATAAAACGTGACGCTGTTTTTGACACTTTGACATTTTAATTCATGCGCCGTAAGGTGATACAATACATGGCATAAAATCTAATAATTTGTTTATTTATACATATATTTATCTGAAATTTGCTGTGTATATAACTAAAATATGTACTAAATAATAGTGAAAATTTCAGAACGCAGTGATGTTCATTTTTCACACTAGACAACTTGTCCACGATTTTACGGGACAACCCTCGTAGAACTCACGACCTGATGTTTTGTTTGTTTATTCAAGAGCACTATCAACAATTCAGAACTTATGGTTATCGTTCTTTATCTCCTCCTAGCGGCCAGCAGAAATGCTAGTTAACTTAACTAAACTTTATTTTAATAAGGGTTAATTCATGCAGGTTTTTAAATCAATTTGATTGATTTAGCGTGTGTGAATTACTCCATTAACATCATCCCCAAAATGTCCATTGGAATTCTGCTGTCGGTGTCCGAAGAAATAAATTTGTGTACGAGACTGGAGTGATGTAAGTATATTACTAGCCCATTACACTGTGCATGCTATGAATTTGATTGGGGGTTATTTCTGGCAAAATGTCTATGTGGTAGATATTACCACATTGAGACTGAAGATTTTTTGGAATGTACGTAAACATTGTAATTTTTTTTTATCCCGTTTATTAGTTTTTTGTCTTACCCAAGAGAGGAGGAATATGTTTTGGCATGGATAGCTTGTTTCCCACAAGTTGCAACTTTGTCAGCTAGGATGTCACATATCAGTTAGATTATAATGTCACATTGTGCCTGTCTAAGGTTAATCAAGTTCAAGTTCAGTGTATTTTTTTGGATACTAATAAAAGTTCGGTCTGACATTGGGAATAAATTCAAAAATGAAGCCCCAAATGGGGGGAGGGGGATTTATGTACTTTTATGGGGTACTCACAAGGGTGGATCTGATCAACTGCTGCAGTGGTACAGATGTAAAATCTCTATTTTTCTTTAAAAGAAAAATGTGAACCAAAAATTATCACTTCAAAATCAAAGAACCAATCATATGATATTTATGGAAGTACGTATACCTTATGTAATCATTATTTTTTTTTTCTGTATCGTGAATTATTCATATTTGGTGAAATGTTGTTATAATAGCCATGATAGCATATACGACATATTTTGTCAAATATGAAAGACCTATCATATGTCATTGAAGAGTTAATATAATGTAGCACCACTTTTTTGAATTAGGTCAAACACGAAGGTAAATATTAAGGTGTCAGAT